GGTCTTGGAGGTGAACAACAGCTGGGGTGGCAAAAGTATCCCAAATTGTCTCCCACACGTCCAGGGGAACATGGGGAGGTCTGGCACACAGAAGGAAAAGGGAGATGGGAGGCTTAACTAGAGAAAATTGGCTCCCCAACTTCACCATCAGGTTCCTTCCCAATGAGGGGGCAGGGCACGAGGAGAGCATAAGGGAGGAGTGTTTAAACAACAGATTCTCAAATACGCAGGGGAAGGAGTATGTCTGGAGACATCCCTCAGTTACCTCTGACCATGACCGGATGGGTCAAGGAGTGAATAGGGTCAGTGGTTACAGCAAAGAACACAGCCATGATAAAGTGGGTAACCTTACCTTCAGCCTCAATTTCTGCCCAGGGCTTGGTGAGGGAGATGGAGAAAGTGGGAGTGTTGCCCAGACCCAGGATCTTTTGTCCTCTCTAGTCTTGAGAAGACTGGAGGACAGGGTACTGGGTGGCTGCTCTATCACTTCTCCTACCTCGGGGACAATCCTTCCTGCAATGTCCCTCCTGGGCATATCTTGGGCAAGGTCCTGGAGGCATCTGTCTTGGGGGCTTCCTCCAATGGGGCACCCTAGAGGGGCACTCCTGGGACCAGTGAGCCTCCCAGTGGACTCCCCTGCCCAAATCGTTGGGCTTCCTCTGAGAAGGTGCCCTGGAGGTAATCTCCTTGGACCAGTGACCCTCATGGTGGCATCGAAAGCAGGTTTTCCCACTGCCCAAGTTGCCAGGAACACCCTTGGGTCTTTCCCTGACCATGGCAGCAGCCAGGAATCGAACATGTTCTTTGTCTCTAGCCCTCTGGCTGCGTTCTTTCTCCTCTGCTGCAACTAGGTCCCTGTTGCTAAGACTCCAAAGGCAATCTCCAATAAATGAGCCTGAGGCATTTGGGGTCCCATTGCCAATTTCTGTAGTTTCCTCCTAATATCTGGGGCAGATTGGTTAATGAAATACATGCTAAGGATTGCTGCCCCTTCAGTAGAGTCAGGATCTAAATTCGTATGCTTTTTAATGCCTTCTACTAGCCTATCTTGGAAAAGGGCAGGGTTTTCCTTTTCTTCCTGAGTAATTCCCTTAATCTTTTGAAAGTTTACTTGCTTTTGAAATGCTGTTTTCAGGCCTCCTAACAGGCAAATTATCATGTAGTCTCTCTTTCCCCTGTCCTCCCTCTTCTGATAATCCCACCCTGGATCACTAGCAGGAACAGCAGCTGTTCCTGGGGGGTATTTTGTGGGGTCATTGCTAGCCAAACGATCCCAAAACTTTGGGCTTGTTCCCATATTCTCTTCCTCTCCTCAGGGGTACAACAGGTGGAGAAGAGGACATGCAAATCACCCCAAGAAAGTTTGAATTGTAGGGAAACATCCCTGAAGCCCTCAGTAAATTTAGTTGGATCTTCTGAATACTGTCCAAGCCTTTCCTTAATCTGGGTGAGGTCTGAAATGGAGAATGGAACATGCACCCTAAGTGTCCCATTAGGAGAGGCAGGTACTTCCCTTAAAGGAAAAAGCCCTGAAGGCCCTGCCCTGCAGGAGCAGGGGCTTGTGGGGGAGGGAGGGAGGAAGTCCCACTTCTCGTGAGTGAGGGACTGGAAAGTGCCAGCTGAACTGGCAAGGCTGAGGAATCCAGCTGGCAAGGGGGAAGATTACCTGACACCAGAGGAGGGGAAGGGATCAGGGGAAAAGACACCACAGTGATACCCTTGTCTGGAGCCTGAAGAGGGGTCCCATCCGAAGTAGAGGTCTGGGGAGGAGGCACCAAGTTGAGAACCTCGTCTGGAGCTTGAGCTGGGGTCTCTCTGAAAGTAGAAATGGGGGGGAGGCCCGTGCTCAAGGCCTGAGTAGAAGTAGCCTCTAGAGCAGGGGTCTGGGGAGGAAATGGAGGGACCAGAGGAGCAGAAGGGAGGGTCTGGGGAGAATAAAGAACAGCCAGAAAGGCCAGAGGACAATGGGGTGGAGATAGGTGCTGGGGAGGTGGTGCCGACTGAGGTTGGGAAGAGGGGGGTGCCATAACCCTAGGAGCCATAAGAGGATCGTCCAAAAGGTCTATTTGGTCCCCACTCACCACTAGTGGGGTGGCTCTAGCTATGAGCATCTTACAGTCCTGAGAATGGGATCTCTAGAAAGCTCAACAAAAGCCATTAAGTAAGAAATCTCTACCCATTTTCTTTCTCTGCGACAATATTTTTCTAGCTCTGAGAAGGTCTTTACCGGTAATATCCCAAAAAGGCACCACGCCTCACAATTTTCCAGGTAATACTGAGGCCAAATGCCGTTACAAAAATGCACCAACTTTTTCTTTTTAAGTTCTTTACAGAAGATAAGATTTTTCCAATTTAGTAAAAGACAGCCCAAAGGCAAATTCTTGGGAAATGAAAAGGATTGACCTATTACGGGCTTAGGGAAAAGAAAAAAAAAAGCAAAAGAAGAAAAAAAATATACATCCAACAATTTCCCAGTTCCCTAGTACCATGAGAACTGAGAAGTTTGAACCTATGCTTCCTGATAGGGAGTCCATCCTCTATGCTAAGGAAGGTATATACCCAGGTCCAAATGCTCAAGCGGAGGCACTGGACCGAAAAACGTGGGAGCATCAGGCAGAGTTTGAGACAGCCTCGTAGCTGTCTGACCTAAAGGAACCTGAGAGGTCAGGCCTGAAAAAACTTCCAAGGCAAGCCTGGCTAGCTGCTTGGAAATCCAGGTCCAAGTGCTCAAGCAGAGGCACTGGACCGAAAAGCCTGAGAACATCAGGTGGAATTGGGGAGGGGGGAACTTACCAGTCGTGGCTGAAGAACAGTTTGAGATTTGGCAGTCATTTCCTGGTCAGGGAAACATATGAAGAGGTCTAGGGGTTTTGGGGTGCTGCTGGAATCCCAAGATGGCGGTACTGGGCCCTGTCTGAAAGAATTCAACTCAAATCTTCTTCAGCCAGAGGAAAAGTTTATTAGTGATAAAACACTTAGGGCCAGGTGACGCCCATAAGGACAAGCAGGTATGAGAGGTTCTTAGCCCGGAATGAGGGCCAGGGTAGATCTTATATACTTTGGGTGACTAGGGAAGGGTCTGGGAAAAGGGTCTGGATGTGAATTCCCAGAGACTGGAATGTCTAAGAGATTGAATAGACAATGGGAATAGATAATGAAGGAACTGAAAGGTATCTGAATGAAATTAAAAGGTAGGCTAAGGCTTTCAAAGGGAGATGAGGGGCTGGTGCCTGTAGACAAAAGGGGAGCCAGATTCCCTTTAGGGCAAGGGGCAAAGACCTTGGCTTGGGCCACACCCCATCAGTTCCAAATAATTACCTGGAATGGTTGGATCAGTTTACAAGTCTGCCAATAGTGCATTAATGTCCCAGTTTTCCCACATGCCCTCCAACATCCATCGTTTTTCTTTTTTTTGTTATATTATCCAGTCTTATAGGTATAAGGTTTATGAGCTCAGAATTGTTTTAACTTGCATTCTCTAATCAATAGTGATCTACAGCATTTTTTCATATGATCTTTCACTCTCTTTTGATATTCAGATGACCTGAATTTTTATGAACTTGTTTCCAATTCTCCTCAGAGTGACTTTGAGCAAGAAGCTATGATTATCTAGATACATAAACCCATTAGAAGGAAAAACCAAACCAAATCAAACCAAACCAAAACAAGCAAACAAAAAATCTCTTCAATGAACACAGGTGAATTTGTGACAAAATTCAACTGTTGAATTTTCCAAATAAGCAGTAGTTTGAATATCACTTGTTTTTTTCAACCTGGTTTGTATATGTAGACCTGACCTAAAATTACGGTTAGTATGATGAAATTTATTAGTATAAAAAACAAAGTGACATGACATTTTTTTTCATAACTTTATTTCATTATTTGTCTTTCTTTTCTTTCCTTTTTTTTTTTTCTAAATCCAGACCTGGAGCTTCATCCATGTGAGAACCCCTCAGTGTGGAGGCCAATTCCATTGATGTAGACTGGCAACTTACCATAACTTATTATCTTACAGAGTTTATCAGGGCACTTAGAGGTCATTTAGCTGGGATGTATCAAAAGTAGCATATAAGCCCGACTCCTTTCGCCTCCAAGGCTAGCTCTTTGCTCTTCTAAAACTTCATGAAAGCTATGAAATAGAACTATAAGAATGTACATTATTATATCTCTCTATCCAATAACATAATTTTCCATATAGATTCATCACATTTTAGAGCTGGAACTTCAAAGGACTAGTGCCTGGGGAGTAGAAGTTGCAGTACTTTGACTGAATCCAGCCACATGTGGCCTTGAGGCTGCAGGTTCCCTACCCCTGGACTAGTCTAACCTCTTGGTAATGAAGAAATCCTTTCTAAAATGCCTGAAACAAACAGCCATGAGACCCTTTATTAAATAAGTCCAATTTGGAGTTTCACTTCCTAAGAACAAATTGTTGGGCAGTTCTGATTGGTGGTAAGAAAACTGAGATCCTCACACTTTATTTAGGGTCCTTTTGGACTTTTGCTTCCTTTCTTCAATCTCCCATTGACTAAGTCAGTTCTGTCTTTGAGCTTAGAACCCTCAGCCTCATTAATCTGTCAGAGTTTATTGCTACCATCACACAAAGCATCTACTAAAATCTCTTCCCCTAGGATGCCTTCCCTGATCTGTTGAAAGATGTCTCTCAATGGGCAAAATAATTTAGATTACCATGTCAATCAAATTCAAGCTGGTGTTTTCCTTTCAGGCTTGCTCTAAGAACTGCTCTAAATAGCTCAGAGTACTAGCAGGTGGAAATCTGCTTTTGAATTGCCCTGCATGAATGTAATTCATAATATGCAAAAATGCTGATTTGAAATAGATTGCAAATGTTAGGCACCATCAGCAATATAAATGCCCATTGATTATTTTTTGCACAGTGCACTGCCGGGAAGGCAGATAAGCACAGAAATAAATACCTTCATAAATGCAGGCCCTTATATACCTTTACCTTAGAATAGAAACCAGTCACTAAAATAAGATTATTATATTTTAATCTTTATTACAAAGATAATCAAAACTGTGAATACAATAAAATTCCCCAGTATTTCCTTACTTAAAAATAATTATCTCCAAACTTTAAAAAGTCCAGAATTTTACAAATGTACATAAAAACAAAAAAGAAGTAACAATAACAAAACATTAACAAACCAGTCATCCATTCTAATAAATGTTTGTTGAGCTCAATCAGAAAGTAGGAAATGTTTGCCTGGTGTACCTGAATTGTAAAGGATTTCTATTAACCGCAGAATTTTAGAGGGGGAAGGGTCCTTGGAGATAATCTAGTCTAGTGGTCCCCAGTCTTTTTGGATAGTGTACCCCTTTTAGCATATGTGTATTGCTCTGCTAATTATGTATACCATACAACTTATACAAAAGTAGAAATTTTAAAAGAGTGACAAAGATGTTTTTAAAAATTGATTCTGGAGTCAATAGGAAGCCATTGGAATTTATTGGGTAGGGGGAATGTTATGGTGAAATCTGTGCTTTAGGGAAATCACTTTTGTAGCTCTATGGAGAGAGACAGGTAAGGAAACTTATCAGGAATCTATTGCAATAGTCTAGGCACGAGGTAATGATGGCCTGAAGTTAGGTGGTAGCTATGTAAGTAAGAGAGAAGGGAAGAAACGCAAGAGATATGATGGAGGCAAAAAAGACAAGATTTGGCAACTACTTGGACATGTGGAACACAGAACAAGACTCCAAGGTTGCAAACCTGGGTGCCTGGGAGGATGGTGGTGCCTTTGACAGCAAGAACTTCAGAAAAAGAGTGGATTTGGCTGAGGGGAAGAAATAATGAACTATGATCTGTAGCACACCATCAATGCCTGCTTTTCTTGTGTGACTCAGTATCCCACTAAAAATGAAAGGGATTGGGGTGGGGGACTCTTCCTCACTGGCTGGTGCTTGAAGCAAAGAACCCACAGGCTGAGGGATGCCTACCCCTGGTGCAAGAGGGAGCTGGGGAGAAGTGGAGAATCTTGCTTGGCAGCTACATTCCCTCACTCTGACTACTTAATCACATACAAGGTCATGCAACAGCTCTCTTAGCCTACTTTGGAGATCCCTGAGCTTATCCAAACCCTTCTATTTGCAGAAGAGAAAACTGGGGTGACTTGCTCACAAGTCAGTTCTTTACTGTCATGGCCTAGAATCCATCTCCTGGCTAACAGTCCAAGCCCCAATGATTTTTCCCATAATATACATCATTTTCCAAGCCTACTAATCCTGCTGGTTAAGTCTTGAGAGTATACCAGTAAACAAACACATTCTTCTAAGGCCACTTCTGGCTAAAGCAAGAAAAGGAGGGTTGCCTAATCCTGATGATTTAAGATTAATAGAAGAAAAAAAATTTCTAAGGAAGCCAAAAGGGAGATATTGCTGTTTAGAAAGTCTCATTTCAGAAAGTTCTTCTACATTATAGACTAATATGGATTTGTAGAAAAATACTTGGGGCACTTTTAATGTGACATAACTTCTTCTCTTTTTTCAAAGGAAGATAAAGAGTTAAATCTGACTTAGCTCAGGTGTCAATGAGAGATGATGAGTGGCACCCCAAGCCATCACTGCACTGCTGGTAATACTACTGGCAATCAAAATCATTATAGCTTAGTCAGGTAATAGACCCAGGGAAAACCAATTATTGGATGAGAAGGGCAATGAACAAGACACAAGTGTATCTGAGCTACAAATGACCCTATGCGAGGTGGATGTCAAAAAGGGAAAGCCCAGGGCCATAGAATATCTGAGCAAGAAGGGACTGAGAGAGCCAAATCCCTCATTTCATCTCTCCTTCCCAATTCTTAAAGCGTTTTTCCCTAGACTGCTCCTGCATCCTTATCACAGCCCACTTCTCATCATACTTCTATACACATACATATCTTATCTGTCTTATTAGACTGGAGACTCCTTGTTCTCTATCTCAGTACCCTTAGTGCCTAACACTTGGACTTGCATGCAGAAGCCACAAAATAATCATTTGTTGAATTGAATGAATAGATGCATAGAATCTATATCTTGTAAGAGACTGCAAGTCCACTTAGTTTAACTTCCCCCTGACTGCAGCAAGCAGAAGATCAACTTGGTGTTTTCCCTTTGACTTCAGCTGTCCCAATCTTTAGAAAGGCAATCAATGACCAGGGCTTTTAAAAACTAGCTTGTCCTGGTCCATGTGTAGCTGAGTAACAGGGCTTGATGAGGGTTTCTGAAGACAAAAATGTTTGGTAGTGAGGATTTCATTTTTGTGTTCCTCCCAGGTATCACACAAACACAGCAGACACAGAATCCGCAATACCTAAGGAGGAAAAAAGTCCTATTAGACACATTGATTGATGAAAACAATTTTTCCCCCAAACCAACCTTTGGAATTAAATGTTTACTTAGCGATTTTTAAAAACACGATTTGACCTTTTTTATGCCAACCCACACAGGCTTCTAACTGAAGCACTGGCAGATGATTAACCACCAGTACTTTAAGAAAAATGTCATTGCTTACTGCAATTTTGTGACTATATATAAGAATTGAAGTGAATAGGCTTCAGAACTCTGAGGAACAGCAAGGACAAAACCAGGAATATTAAGAAGACATGTTTTGTCGTTACAGCTGTTATCCTGTGAGATTATATGCATACAAACATATACATATACACACACTCATACATATATCTATATATATGTAAACAAATTACTTAAATGAATCGGTTTCATTATTTGAAAGGTATATTGTTCACATCTATTGTTTAGAGACAATAGGACAATGAAAACAATTTACAGGCAGCTAGGGAAGGCTTCATTTCAAATCTAGCCTCAGTCAGCTTAGTAGTTATGTGACCCTGAGCAGGTCAACCACGTTCAGCCTCAGTTTCCTCATTTGTAAAATGAAGATAATATAATAGGACGTACTTCTCAGGGTTATTGTGATGATAAAATGAGATGATATTTGTAAAGTACTAACTAATTATTATTATTAGTGGGTTGTCTTTTTAGTGAAATGTTGACATTTATGCTTTTAAATTTGACTTGAAGCAAAATTTTAATAGTAACAAGACTACTGCACACCCTTAACTACCAAAAGCATTGAACTCAATATCATCTGAAGAATCTACAACCAATTTTAAGATATACAGTATGTGTGTATATATATGTATGTATGTCTTGCAAGGAAAAAATGTTTGTAATTAAATATATATATATATATATATATATATATATATATATATATGGTAAGTATAAAGGAATGCTTGCAATAAATATATGTGTATAAAACATGTACATACGTGTGTGTATGTGTGTATGTGTATATATATATATATATATATATATATATATGCAAGCACTGGGGGTATAATAAAGGCAAAGGACAGTCCCTGCCCTCAGGGAGATTACAATTTAAAGGGTGAGACACAAGCAAATAAACAAGTATAGTCAAGCTATATATAGGATACATAGGGAATAACTAACAGAGAGAAGGCACTAGAATTAAGAGATATTAGGAAAAGTAGAATATGGGATTTATCTGAGTCTTGAAGGAAGTTAAGAAAGGCAGGAGGTGGAGATAAGGAGGAAAGGCATTCTAGGTACGGGGGACAATCAGAGAACACATTCAGAGGTGAGAGGAGTATCTTATTCTTTCTGACCTCTCCAACTACAGGAGAGATTCTACCAACTCTGTAAAACATTCAACATTCATATGATGAATGCTTGATCTACAGGAAAGTTTTTAGGCAGGATAATTAAAAAAAATTTTTTTTCAAGAAACAAACTATAAAGTTTCATATCTGCTACTTGGAGCACAACCTTTACACATTATACCCGGTTCCAATTTACAGAATCTTTAGTTAATGCAAGCTGCCTGGAATCAGTGGAAAATAAACTCCTTGATGCCAGTTCCATTTAGTTTTTTGCATCCCCAGGGTCAGTACACAGGACATTGCACACAGTAGGTGTTTAGTAGAAGACTATTGGATTGAATTGCTGAATTAAATGGATTAAAAATGTAAGAAAAAAATTTTTTTTATTAATAACCAAGTATTAAATTAGGATTGATTTTTTTTCCTTTCTATTTCCTCATTCAGGGACCAGTTCTTGTAGGTCAGTCAACCTCTGAAGGACAGGGCTGATGATGAGACTGGTCTAATCCTCCTAGGGACATCCTCCTCCATCTAGGGTAGGACCACATCCAATTAGGAGAGCTTACTTCTGATTTAAAGTATAAATAGAATCTATTCTAGGTGAATTTCAGCCCCAACAGGGTGTAGATGGATTCATTTGTCCAGATAGTTAGAGGCAGCTGAGTCTCACGATCAAGCTACCCTCGCAGGAGGAGGAGCTGAAGGCTTTCAGCCCACCCCCTCTTCCACCCCATCATTAATTGTTCACCAATCAGGGTTGATCTCCACCTGTCAGGAGCCCACATTTCCAAAGATATTTAAGCATTTGATGATCTCTGTGGTTTTGTCTTTGGTTACCAAGAGAGACCACTGACCATCAACTTATTAATTATTTGCTAGCCTAATTAATAAATTGATTATTAATTACCCAGAAACTCTATCTGTCAGGCTTTTCATTCATCTCAAATGAAAACCATTTCTGTGATCAGTGCACTAGACCAATGGTGTCAAACTCAAATAGAAATGAATCTCTTTTGGCCACAAACTGATTTGGAAAACCACAAATGAGCACAAACACATGCATATGTGTATTTTTCATTCTTGAGGCTCAAGTCTTTTTTTCTTCCCACCGGCTATTTTGACAGAGTTTGGTGAGTTGGCGCAGCCACTAGAGTTGTACTTCTGGAGTAAAGTCAAATAGAAGCAATTGAAGTCACTTAAGATCTCAATGTCTCTAAGACTACATAAGTTTCAGAGTATATGCAGGTCTGCATTGGAAGGGGGAAGTTCCTGACTAGGATTTTCCTATGTCAGTGTGATTACAGACCTGGGTCCAAAACAAAAATGTGACACTTTCCATGTTTAGCTTTCATATTTGTAAGGCAGACTTACTTGGATAGGCACTTTTCCCCTAGGCTCTCTTTGTTTAAAAAAGGTCTCCTCTCAATCCCTTAATCATCTAGTTAATGTACACAAATTGCCATTCCTTAAAGTCTAAGAAATAGAGCCTACTCTATAAACCAGAGTTTGATAAAAGAGTAGATTCCAGCTTTATGGAAGATGCCTAATTAGATGCAAGGAAAAATTTGATAATTAGAACTATCCAAATATGGAATGGGATGCTTTGGAGGGATTCATGCCTGGGCTGCCTGATTACTTGATGGGTATGCTATAGAAGGAATTCTTTTCCAGCTATGAGATGGAACACAGCCATATCTAGGATTTGGTGCCCAGGGCAAATTCATTTGGGGGACAGGGAAGAGTCCAGATCCTGGTTAGGTTAGATGATCCCTGAGATCTTTTTCAATGGATAATTCACTGTTGATATCCTTTTAATAGATGCAAAGAGTCTGTCTTGCCATTCAATCTGTATTTGGGGGCATAAACGAGACTTACCACAAATATTAGCTCCCATTTTAACAAAGGCATAGCCATCTACTCCCCAGGAAGTACCCCATGAGTTCCGTACTATCCAATAAGGAGTGCTTCCTATAAAAATAAGAGAGGAAAGTCAACTTGAGATGACCAAAACACTTTTAGTACAATAAATGTGTAATAAGAATGGATAACTATTTACTGAGTAATTTACTAAAGGCAGATATACTAAATAAATACATGCATATAAGAGCAGGACTTGGAGATACAATTGAGTGCTAATTTAAATCTGACAATAGGTCTCTACTATACTGAATATGACACTAAAGACAAAGAAACTAGTATTTTTAAGTGCTTTTTAGTGTTAGGTGGTTTAATACTAGATGCTTAATAAATGTCTTTTTTTACATTTATTTTTTATTTTTCTCAATTACATATAAACAAACATTTTTAACATTCATTTAAAATTTTTGAGTTCTGAATTCTCTTTCTCCATCTCCTCCCCTTTCCTTGAGAAGGTAAGCAATTTGAAATAGATTATATACATGAAGTCATGAAAAACATTTCTATATTAGCCATAATGCAAAAGAAAATGCAGAATGTCTTGAACTGTTAATAATGGCTAATGATACTTTAAGGATTACAAGGCACTTTACACATGCAATTTCATTTGATTTTCACAACAACACTGTGAGACAGTTTCTTTTTATCCCCATTTTACAGATGAGGAGGCAGGCTGAGAGAATCAAATGATTTGTTCAGGGTCCCACAGCTAATAACATTCAAATTCAGGTCTTACTGACTCCAGGTGCATTACTCTATACCAACTAGTCACCTACTCAAGACAGAATAAAAGGATAAAGAAAAAAAGAAAAGAAAACTACAGAGAACCAGGAAAAGGAAAAATCAGGTACTCAAAGGCATACACCACAACACTGAGAGACTTGATTAGAAAATATTCTCAATATTTCCATGAATTTCTATGAAGAATGACTAACTGAAAACATACATTTTTATAATGGGTTATTTTAAGGTTGCCATCAGTGTAAAGAGAGTAACCCCAATAAGAAATAGTTTGAACAAGACTGGGAAATTTCTGCCTCCTGAAAAAATGTATTCTAGGAAGAAAGAGAGCCTAAACAGCACGTACCTGTTTTGTCAAAACCAGTTATGAGAACGGCGTGATTGGCTTCTCCACTGGAACAGTGATGCTGGATTATTCCTCCCAGATAATCTTGCCAGCTCACTGCATCCACTATCACAGCTAAAGGGCCATAGGCAAGGAGTACTTTGGCCATTTCATCCTCTTTATCACTAGGAAGGAAGAGGAACCACTGTACTGATGAGTTTAATTTGTCTCAAGATTGAACATCTCTAATGCAATGTAACCATGAAAAAAGAACACTGGATTTGGAGTCCAAAGACCTGAGTTCCAACACTGGCTCTATCACCATAAGAAATAACAACAGCAATAATAAAGACATCTAACATTCACAGACTTGTAAAGCACTTTACTTGAGCCTCACAACAATCCAGTGAGGTAGAAGTGATTATTATTCCTACTTTACAAATAGGGAAACTGAAGCTGAGAGGTCAAGTAACCTGTCCAGAGGTACCCAGCTAGTACATTTTGTGGCAAGATTCAAACTCACATTTTGCTGACTCTAAGTCCAATCCTCTATTATTAGATAACTTTAAAAAGGTCATGTAACCTCTCCAAAGCTCTATTTCCTCACTTGTAAAATGAGGGTGTTCAATTATATAATCTCTAAGACCTCTTTTAGCGCTAAATCTTATAATCATAGCTCTTGACCTATGCTAAATTAACATTCATAATCATAAAATCGTATGTTTAGAAGTTAAAGTGAACTTTCATTGAGTCCAACCCCCTCATTGTACAGATAAGGAAATTGAGCCCCCAAAATATTACCTGACTTGCCTAAGGTCACACTGATACAACACAGCTTAGACATCATAGAATGATAATTACTTGATTAAGAAGGATGACCAAGTCAGATTTATATTAAGGATGCAAGGATGGTTTGACTTTAAGAAAAAAAAATAATCATATTAAAAACAAATTACTACACACATATGATTATATCAAGGGATCAAAAAGTGAAACACTCATTTCAGTAAAAAAAAAACCCTACAAATCATAGTCATAAAAGGGTCATGTTTTGATATGATTAAAAAGTATATATCTCAAGTCAAAAGCAAGTATTATTTGAATTGGGGAAGCACTGAAAGCTTTCCCACTAAATACAGAAGTAAGGCTATCATGTCCTTTCTTTACTATTGTTCAACATCATTGTAGAAATGTTAGTAATGTGAAGAAAGTAAGAGAAAGAAATTAAATATAGCCAAAGAGGAGACAAAGTTATGCCTATTTCTATTAACATTACAGTTTACTTAGAAAAATCTCAATGAATCAGCAAAGAAACTGGGAAAATTAACAAATTCAATAACTTAACAGAATGTAAAATAAACTGACAAAAAGCAGTAACCTTTCTGTACACCAATAATAAAATCTGGGAGGACATAATAAAAAAGAAATTTTCATTTAAAAATCACCACAAAATACATAAGCTAAGTGGCAGTCTACAGAGGAATACTCAAGATATATAAATACAATTACTCTTCTTCTTCTTCTTCTTCTTCTTCTTCTTCTTCTTCTTCTTCTTCTCCTTCTTCTTTTAGGCAATTGGGGTTAAGTGAATACATAAGCTAAGTGGCAGTCTACAGAGGAATACTCAAGATATATAAATACAATTACTCTTCTTCTTCTTCTTCTTCTTCTTCTTCTTCTTCTTCTTCTTCTTCTTCTTCTTCTTCTTCTTCTCCTTCTTCTTTTAGGCAATTGGGGTTAAGTGACTTGCCCAGGATCACACAGCTAGTAAGTGTTAAGTGTTTGGTCTGAGGCCCGATTTGAACTCAGGTCCTCCTGACGTCAGGGCCAGTGCTCAATCCACTGCGCCACCTAGCTGCCCCTAAATACAATTACTCTTTAAAAAAAATAAAGAATGACAAATAATAGGGAAGATTCATTATTTGTGGTCGGGTCCTACCAACATAATAAAAATGATAATATATAAATTAACATATTTTATCCACAATCAAACTATTAAGGGGACACTAGACAAAATAGATGAAATAATAAAAAAAAATTCATTTGTTGGTGGTGGGGAACAAAAAAGGATTTCAAAGAGAATATTGGGGGGAAGTATGAATGAATGGGGAAAAACACTTTTGGTCCTCAAATTATACTATAAAACAGTAATCAGTAAAATTATTTGGTACTGATTTAAAGTAAAAAAGTAATTCAGCAAACAAAATAAGTTAAGAAATATCAGAAACAAACTTTGTACCCTAGTGTTCAACAAATATAAGAACATAAATGACTTGTGAGAAAGAACCCTTTACTTGATAAGAACTAGGAAAACTGCAAAGAAGTTTGGAAAAAGTTAGGTTTAGATTAACATCTTATACCATATACCACAATAGACTCAAAAACGGATAATCAATCTGAATAAAAAAGTTATATTATGTATAATAAGTCCCATCAAGTGTAAAAAGAAAATGAGAAGAATCAAATCAGGACCCTTTCACAGCTGTGGCTAGGGAAAGAATTTGTTTTAAAAATTTTATTTAATACTTTTTGCTTTTATATCATCTTCATTACTTAAAATATCCCCTTCCCTTTACCAACTCATAGAGCAATTCTTTTTAAGAGGAAAAAAAGCAGTTCAGCAAAACCAATCCTCACATCAATCAAATATAGTCTTGTATCAGCCAATGTAGTCAAGCTATTTCACTGAAGAAAAGAGAGAGGTACATTATTCAAATCTGAGTTTGTTTTCTCCATTTATTTTTTTTTAGGAGTTGTGTATATTGTTTTCCTGGTTCTGTTTACTTATTTTGTATCACTTCATTGAAGTCTTCCCATGCCTCCCTGTAGTCTTCTTATTAATCTTTTTTATTTTTATTTATTTATTTATTCCCAAATAAATATTTCTTTTTACTTGAAAAAAATTGAAAAATTGTATTTGAAAAAGATAATTTCTTATTAAATATTTATGTTTAATTATTTATTTTATCTTATTAATTTTTCTTTTTTTATGAATTTATTTTTACTTTTCATCATTCACATCCACAAAATTTTGAGTTCCAAATTTTCTCCCCATATCATTCCTCCCCCAAATCCTAGGGCAGCATGCATTCTGAATACTCTTTCCCCTAATCTGCCCTCCCTTCTATTCCCACCCCTCCTTCTCTTATTCCCTTCCTCTTCTATTTTCCTGTAGGGCAGGATAGATTTCTATACCCCATTGCCTGTATATCTTATTTCCTAGTTGCATGTGAAAACAATTTTTTTAACATTTGTTTTTAAAACTTTGGGCTCCAAATTTTCTCCCTTCCTCCCTCCCCATCCCCCTCATTTGAGAAGGCAAGCCACTTGATACAGGTTATACATGTGTAGTCATGCAAAACACTTCCATAGTAGTCATGTTGTGAAAAACTAAGTATACTTCCCTTCATCTTATCCTGCTCCTCATTTGTTCTATTCTCTCTTTTGACCCTGTCCCTCCTCAGAAGTGTTTGCTTCTGATTACCCCCTCCCTCAATCTACCTTTCCCTCTATCATCTCCCTTCTCTCTTATTCCCTTCTCCCCCTATTTTCCTGTAGGGTAAGATAGCTTTCTATACCCAATTGAGTGTGTATGTTATTCCCTTCTTAAGCCAAATCTGATGAGAATAAGATTCACTCATTCCCTCTCACCTTCTCGTGTTTCCCCTCCACTGTAAAAGCCTTTTCTTGTCTGTTTTATGTGAGATAATTTACCCCATTCTATCTCTCCCTTTCTCCTTCTCCCAGTATAATCCTTTCTCATCTCTTAATTTTATTCTCCAGATATCACCCATTCATCTTCAACTTACCCTGTGCCCTCTATCTATCAATCTATCTATATATGTAATTTTTTCCACCTCTAACTACCCTAATACTGACAAAGGTCTCATGAGTTACAAATATCATTTTTCCATGTAAGAATATAAACAGTTCAACCTTAATAAGTCCCTTATGCTTTCTCTTTCACGTTTACCTCTTCATGCTTCTCTTGAATCTTGTATTTGAAAGTGACATTTTCTATTCAGCTCTGGTCTTTTCATCAAGAATGCTTGAAAGTCCTCTATTTCACTGAATGTCCATTTTTCCCCCCTGAAGGATTATACTCAGCTTTGCTGAGTAGGTGATTCTCGGGCTGTAATCCTATCTCCTTTGTCCTCCAGAGTATTATATTCCAAGGTCTCCAGTCCCTTAATGTAGAAGCTGCTAAATCCTGTGTTATCCTGACTGTGTTTCCACAATACTTGAATTGTTTCTTTCTGGTTGCTTGCAATATTTTCTCCTTGACCTGTTAGTTATTCCTCAAGCAATAGACATTTTTTGTTTGTTTCTTGGTCCTTCAGGCCAAAACAAACAAACAAACAAACTCATACTGCTGTAAATGTTTTGGTGACTGTTCGACCTCCTCTCCCCCTTCCCCCTGCTTTCCCCCAACTCCTTTTATTTTTTTAACCTCCTCTGGAATAGCACTGAAATCCCTGGGTCAAAGACTAAGGATGTTTTAGTCACTTTTTAATAGCATGATTCCAAATTACTGTCCACTTTTTTGGCCATCTGTTTAGTTGTGTCTGACTCTTCTTCCAACCCCCATTTTTAGGGGTTTTACTTGGCAAAGATACTAGAGTGGTTTGCCATTTCCTTCTCCAGCTCATTTTAGAGATGAGGAAGCTAAGGCAAACAATGTTAAGTGACTTGCCCGGGGTCACACAACTAGTAAGTATCTGAGGCTGGATTTGAATCTTCCTGATTCCAAGTCCAGTGCTCTAAAAACTAAATCACCCAGCTGCCCCAAAATTACTATCTGGCATGAACCACTTCATCCCTCTGCCAACAACATCTAACTAAGCCTTTCTGCAGTTGGCTCCAACATTGTCAACTCCTATCTTTTTGCCATCTTCATCAATATGCTATATGATAGGTAAAACCTCAAAGTTGTTTTGATTTGCATTTCTCTTATTATTAGTGATATGAAATGGGCAATCTTTCGTATAGTTCTTAGTAGCTTAAAATTCTTCTTTTGAGAATTGTTTGTTCCTACCCTTTGTGACAGCTAAGTGACACAATGGATGGAGTGCTGGGCCCATTTATCAGGAGGACTTTGAGTTCAAATCTAGACTCAGACACTATATGTCATTGGTCACTTAGCCTCTGTTTGCTTTAGTTTCCTCATCTGTAAATTGGGGATAAT